GTCTCACTGAAACTAAGGCTCGCCAGTAGATGCTCCTATTTTCATGTCACACTTAAATAGTTTTCTGTTAGGCATTTCTCTCTTTAAGTGCACAAATTGCAGCAGGTCTCTATGGATTTTTGGTAAAACCATATAAATGGGTTAATTGGGCTTTTTGAGGCTGGAAATTGCATGTGGCACTCAAGGCTTTTTTGTCTTGACGTCTGATTGTTATTTTCATTTGCTGCATACATTAACTATAATGGTGCGGTTTATTCAGTCACATGTCAATATGCATTGCTTCACGTCATTTTATTCCTACACTTGATACAAGACATTTTGCATTACCTTATTCAAGTACCCAGAGACTCGGGTTTAAACAGTAAGAGCGGGTCAGATTGCCCGCTCGATTATTATCTAACCTAAATAACCCAGCACCATAGTATTGATTTCTTTGTGGAATGGTAGAAATGCAAAAAAAAAAAAAACTCATTATATATTATAATATTTAATATATTTATAAGAAAATATTCTACATTTGTTGCATATTCATAAAAATCACCAGTTAGAATTGGCAAGGTGAACACGTCCAGATGGAGGGATATAAAGCGACTATTAAAAAATATCCACAGCTAACATATAAAACATTATGTCCGGATATACCGAGGTCAGAAATTAAGTAGATGACCTTCCATTAAAGTGACAGTTTATCCAAAAATGAACATTCTTCCATCATTAACTAACTGCTATAAACCTGAGTTTCTTTCTTCTGTTGAACACAAAAGAAGATATTTTGAATAATGTTGGAAAGCAGCAGCCATTGTCTTCCATATTATTGTTTTCCTATTCTGGATGTCAGTGGCTGCTTTTTACCAACATTCTGAATGTCTTGTTTTGTGCTCGACAGAAGAAAGACAATCCTAAAAGCTTGCAACCCTTTGAGTGAGTAAGGGTGAACTATGCATTAAGGAGATAACATTTGCCCTCAAGTAATGTTTTCCAGGGTAGTTTCTTTTAGCCTCAGGTTTTAACAGTGATCTTAAATGCATGCATCTGAAAGTGTTTTCACTGTAAAAAGTGATTAATTGAAGAAAAAACTGCCTTAATAGCACCAAGTTGACAAAAAATTGAGTTAACACTAACTTTAAACTAATTTGATGATTTTATATTTAGGCACATACACTGTAAAAAGTGATTAGTTATTTAAAGCGAGTAAACAAATTGCCTTAAAAGAAGCAAGTTCACTTTATGAAAATAATGTAATAATAAAGTAAATTCATTGTAACTTGGAACTCTAAAGTTGACTTAATTATGCAAATTATATTCACTTTAAAAAAAATAAAAATAAACTAATCACTTTTTCCAGTACACCTTTATTATATTAGTTGTTTCCCAGCTTTTCTGTATCTAGCAAAATGACAGTAACTAAATTAAAGCTGCTCTTCCAGACTCCAGTCTTCTAAATTCAATACAGGCTATAATTGTAGATTTTATAGACTTAATGAAGCACCAAAAATATATGATCTGTAATAATTACTGAAATTATTTGAACTTGTTATTATTTGAAGTGCTAAAATAATCTGACACTGGAAAAAAGAATTAGTTGCCTTTAAAAAAAGTGAGTACAATTTGCATAATTATAAAAATAAAGTAACAGTTCCAAGTTACAATGAGTTTACTTAAATTATCTTTGTAAAGTCAACTTGTTGCTTTTAAAGCAATTGGTTTACTTGCTTAAGTAACTAACAACTTTTTACAGCCTAGTTCATTTGCTTAAGGCAATGGGGTTGACTCACTTTTTTCTGTAAAGTCAAGTGAACATACAGTATAATTTGGCTTGACAATGGGGTAAAATGCATGAGGCAAAAGTTTAATTTTTGAGTCTCAATTTGGCCACAACGTTGTCTGTGTTTCACCAAATAGAAAGATTCTTGGTGATAAATCTTATTTTGACACATTTTGGGACAACTCTGGAGAAACTGACTGTTTTTATTATGTGTGTGGCTGTTTTTTCCCATTGACTTCCATTAGTTTGATACCCAAACCCATAGACCAGGGATGGGCAAACTTGATCATCGAGAGCCGGTGTCCCTGCAGAGTTTTGTTCCAACACTAGTCAAACACATCTGAACAGGCTAATCAGTGTCTTTAAGATCACAAGAAATCTATAAGCAGGTTTGTTTGATTAGGATTGGAGCTAAACTGTGCAGGACACCGGCCCTCCAGGACAGAGTTTGCCCGCCCCTGCCATAGACCATATCTTTTGTTGTTGGTTTGGGAAACTTTTTTGCACACTAAAGGGTTAATGGTGCCAACTGATTTACCTCTAAATTTGACCTTGTGAGGAAAATCACCAACAATCAAAAATGCATGATTATATGGTGTCATGGCTTTGCGGTCAAAAAATGTCCTTTTAATGGAAGTTAATGGGGTGAAAACAGCCATGAACATAAGGAAAGGGGGGTTGATTTGAACAATACACAACGGTTAAACAATGATTTTAATACTGGACATTCATTTATAAGAAAACTATGTTTATAAACCTTGAAACACTGCTGTTTTTGGAGTCTATAAACAGTTTGGAAAGCTACAAAAAACCCAGAAGCAAATTAGTGAAAATGTAAAGGTAAAAGTTTTCAATTTTTAAGTACATTGTTGTTGTGTAAACATGGTCTAAATGTAATTTGGAGTGACTTTAATTGCAACAGACAAAATAGATTAAGGGTTTATTTAGATGACAATTGTAAGCTTAACAGCAGAAATGTTTTTCCTTTGCCTTTTTGAAAGGCTTTAAATAAAGACACCGTCAAAGCAATCTCTGTTCACATGACTAATTATGCATGGCAGCCCAGTAGCTGGTATTGTCACTGTGAGCAAACAGTTGTTCCACACATAACGTCCTGTAATCTGCAATGCCTATAAACTGAACATGTAGCACATGGTTTTGCATTTTCTTATACCCTAACAAGTTTCCATTTTAAAAACAGTACTCCAAATAGTGCATAGTACATTTTTACCATCTTATTTTGAATCTGTTGGCTGTTTGTTCATTCTGGTGATATTTTTCCCAAACGCTGCTAGTTTACAACACAGGAATACAACATTTGTTCATTCTATTTCATTGAAGCTTAGTCCTTTTATTAATCAAGGGTCACCACAGCAGAATACACCGCCAACTTATCTAACATAAGTTTTATGTAGTGGATGCCATTCCAGCAACCCATCACTGGGAAACACCCATAACACTCTCATTCACACACATACAGTTTAGCTTACCCAATTCACCTATAGCGCATGACTTTGGACTTGTAAGGGAAACCGGAGCACCAGAAGGAAACCCACGCCAACACGGGGAGAACATGCAAATTCCAGACAGAAATGCCAACTGACCCAGCCGAGGCTCAGAGTGATCTTCTTGTGTTGTGTCAGTTTCCTCAAATGGTTTGAGTTGCCTTAACTTATTTGGTTTAATAGTACTCAGTTGGTTCTCTTAATTTATTGGGTTTTCTGTGCTCAAATTGCTTCATTTACTTAAAATGGATTGTTCACAGTACTCATTAGCATTAGTTTTTGAACTTAGATAGTTTGTTGCAATCGGTTTACTCAAATGGTTTGAGTTACCATAACTTTTTGGGTTTTTACAGTGTAGTAGTAAAAATAGGACATGGCTGTACTGCTTCATCCCATTAATGCATGCAAGTTTAAAGGGATAGTTCACCAACTAAATTTAAAATCTCTAATTTACTCACTGTTCACAAACCTGTTTGAGTCTCCTGTTGAACACAAAGGAAAAATAATAAAATAAAATAAAAAAGCTGCAAACCAGCATCCTCTGACACATTTTTTTCTACTATGAATGTCATTTTCAAAATATCTTCTATAGTGTTCAACAGAAAAAAGAAACTCATAAAAGTTTGGAATCACTATATAGGTTGAGTAAATGGTGAGCAAATTTAGATTTTTGGCTGAACTATTCTTTTAACATATGTTGTCAAGTCCTTGGAGCTCTATTTTTAACAAGAGGAGACAAACACAAGTCTTATGATGAAAATGGAAATCAACTTTTTATTGTCGTTCATAAAAGATCATAAGTACAATCAAGTCATTGTATGAAACCGAAAACATTCTCAGTGGAAGAAAGAGTTTGTTTTTTGTTGCTTGCTGCTGATTTGCATAAACATAGTGTTTCCTGTAACACGCCCTTTACCGCTCAATAGTTAGGATCCTACAGAGACTGACTAACAAAAACCTATACCAACCCTTCAGGGAAAAAAAAGAAGCAAGAAAAGAAGAATTTGGTCATGATGCTTATAAAAAGCCATGGATTGGAAGAAAGGGGCTTGATTAGGTTCAGCGGACACTGCAGACAGAAACAGATGATCTCGACAATACAGTGATGGTCCTCTGGTTGCAGTATCCAACTCTGTGCTACAAGGCTTAACCAAAACACAGCCTACACTCCGCATGAGCAGACCTGCATAAAAATATGAACCCGTATCAGGTTCAAATATGTATAAAATGATTTTAGTCTCCCAAACTCTTCCTTATAAGTTAACCATGCAAAAACTGTTTTTTTTTTTCTTTCTTATTATTCTTTCTAACAGTACCTTTAATAAATACTGTGATTTTATAGTCATATTTTTTTAGGAAAAAATAGGCAAGAGACTGACAGGCACCATGTGTTCGAAGGACAGATTTTGCATTTTTAAAAAGATGCAAAGTAGATTATATTACACATGAACTATTTAAGGCCACAATGGTTTTGATTTGGAATCGTCCATCCATCATTCTGATGTCCGAGTTCTTCATTTCTTTTCAGCAAATGGTCATTCGAATAAAAATCAAATACAAAATGGTATGTGATCACAATCTTTACTCCATAGGAAAACCCTTACCCTCATCATAATTTCATTAATCTTGTAACTCAATAACTTATTGTCTGCGGCGCGAAAGAATATTTACAGGTTATCGTCTTAAGGCAGAGTAGAGAAAAGGCCAGAATTGATTATAATTTGTTTTTTTTCTACAGCATTAGAAACCCAAGTACGTTATGGGTTAAATGAAGAAGTTCAGTGAAAGAATAAAGTCAACTGGAGTCATTCACTATCATCACATTCCTTAAAGCGATGTCCCATGGAAACGTGGGAAGTGCGTGTGCGACGACTGAAACGATTTTCAGAACAAACCAGCCACCCTGGACGGGGCTCCTTGGTACAGCTGATCAGAAGAACACAGAAAATAATATAATCATCCAGTTGGACATCAGCATCATATGAACAAACAATTCCTGCGTGGCTTCATTTTCAAGTAGTCTTTGTCTTCTAGCTCTTCATAGCTTCTTCATGGTCACCTCTCCAAAAGGACTGTTCGTGTAATACTCGGCTAATCATTTCCCGAAGTTGGCGAAATCTGCAAAGGCATCTTGTTTAGGCTGTCCCATGGCAGGGCTCATTCCCATGCCTGGCATCCCCGTACCCATGCCCATACCTCCTGGCATGCCCATGGTGGCTGCTGACATGCCCATGTTCATATTCATTCCCATCATGCCCTGATTGACTGGCATCCCTCCCATTTGTGGCATAGACATGGGGCTAGAGGTCATGCCAGGCTGCATGCTCATGTTCATTCCTCCCACCATGGTGTTGGTGGGCGGTCTGACCATTGAAGGGGCAGCCTGCATGCCCAGATTCATGCCCGCAAAGCCCTGAGTCATCATATTGACAGGAGTCTGACCTCCTATTGCAGGACACAATAGACAAAATACATTGAAAGAAGGGTCTGGTAATCAAAAAAAAACAACAACAACTATTTATGCAATTATGTAACAATGTCTGCATATGCTAATAATAGTGCTTGTTCGGGAAAAACATGGTGTAAAATAAAGTTTAATGTTATGTTGTATTTATACACTAACACCAGTCAAATGTTTGAAATGAGTAAGATTTTTTATAAGTTTTAAAAGAAGCCAGTTCTGCTCAGCAAGGCTGCAATTATTTGATCAAAAGACAGTAAAACCTGTTAAATTGTGAAATATTATTACATTTTTAAAGAGCCGATATTATGGTCTTTCATGACCTTCCATGCTGTGTAAAACACAGCTCTAAGTGAATGAAAACATCTAGCCGAGGTGTAAATCTGAAAGTGTGTCGTATTTAAAACTAACGAAATAGTCGACTCTCGATTCGAATGAATGATTCGTGTTGGGTTCAGATCTTTTGCTTGAACACATAAATGTCAATAAAGTACATCAAACATGAAGTGCCGGTTCTGGTAAAAACGTGAATTCGCCTTTCCCTTCAGACACTAGTGGAGCACGGGGGATCAAGGGATACGAAGATAATTATCACTGACAGATAGGGATTTGGCTGCAGAGAATAAAGGGTTAAAGTTCATTTCACAACAATACCACAGTATAGTCAACCTAGTGCTGTGTTTGTATCAAAAATCCGAAAAATGACAGGAACAATAACCTATGCTGCAGTGTGAGATTCGTTGGCCATTTGCTATTGAAGGAGCAGCAGAGACTATTATGTATGGGACTTTGTCAGTAACTGTTACAGTTCATATAAAGCAGTTTCTTCTTTCTCCGGATCAACAAGTGTAAATAGAATTTTTGCCTCATTTTGTGTACTTTGCAAAACGTGTTTAATTGTGTTGCATGTTGTAATCACTTATCTATAGATCAGTGTTTGTACTGTTTCTCTCAGGGTAAACCTTAAAGGGGCCATTCACGTGCAAAACCATGATTAAAACGTGATGTGCTTCTTTCTTTACCAATTTAAATGCGTTTCTGAACTTGCGATCCTCTGCCGTTTGCCTTGGCTATGGCCAGCATCAGCTATTCCTGATACATGCAGCATAGTCAATTTTCAAAATAATTGAACTTTTGCCACTGTGTGGATTAACACTGAATCCTAAACTTCTCAAACAACAAAAACAAATAATAAATGTTTCTAGGGCAGGTCACGATGATAAACTATTTGAAGGATTGTGTCATTGAAGACTAATCATGCTTAAAATTACGCTTTAAACTAAATTAACAACAGTTATAAATAAATAAAATAATTTATATAAGTTATAAATAAATAAACATAATAATATTGCAATAACATCACAATTTCAGTTTTTACTGTATTTGTTTTCATAAATGTAGCCTTTGTGAGCATAAGCTTACAATAAAACAAACTAAAATAAAATCTTACCGATTCGACTCGTTGTGTATATAAAAAACAATAATAATAATATTTTCGACTCTTAATATGGTATTGTTTAATAAAATGTTTAAAACAAGATAAAATGTTATCTAAAAGTAGTCAGAATATATCACATGAAACAAGTATCATTGATTGCAATACTAAATGCAACTTGTACTCTATAATCAATAGCAGTAAAAGACTACTATTTGAAGTAATCTACTTGGTGCTGTCTGATTACTTTTCATCTTTCCAGTGACTCTCAGTATCAATGCTTACCTTGCTGCATCATGCTGAGTGTAGGCTGAGAAGGTTTGGGCGGCTGCATGCCAGGGCCAAGATAGTCCAGGCTTATGTCTACATTAGAATTGGACCAGGTTGAGGGCACAGGGGCTTTGGGATTGGGCTTCTGGGCCATCGGCTGCTGGGGCATCAGCGGGACGCCCATAGTCTGCAGTGGCTGCCAAGACCAAAGGAAAATGAAGTTAGTTTTAAAACAAACCATTTACGATAATGCCAATATGATCAAAAACAATCTTCAGATGCTATTCTCTGATCCAGTTAAGATTATATTGTTCTGTAGCAGTTCAAGCATGATAATTAAAATTCTCCCATGTTTGCCAATGGCAGAATGACACAAGTCAGAGGAGATGAAAGACAGTATTAATTCTCCAGAACATTACAGTGTGGTTTTCAGGGTTATCAGGAATCTTGAGTTCTACAAGACAGCAATGTTGGTTGAGAGGCATTGTCTTCTCCTAAAATTATTTCAGCATGTTAAAATGCATCTCAAGTCCCTCTAATTATACCATCGGGGGGGCTGCTTTTTTCTTTAGCCAAACAAAACTTGCCATTTTAAAGTAGGTCAGGCTTTTAGCATGCAAATATTATCTTTGTGCAAGGCTTTTGTTTCAATTTAATGGTTTTCTGACTTAAACTTGTTCCTCCTCATTCTGCCATTCTCTGTGATGGGAGTCCCAAGGGGACCGGGGTTGATGGGTAATGAGGAGGGGGTGGGTGGAAAATTGTGCCGATGCTGCGTGTTAACCCTCGCTCGTTTCGCTTTCATGTTGCTTGCTCTCTAAACCGCTGGCTCTGAACCTCGTCCAGAATTGTCTTTTCTTGCGTAAATAGTGTTTAGTGTGCAGTTCCACTTAGATGAGCTGCATTAAGTACTCCACAGATGGGGGATCTGAATGAAAACCACATCATCTATGTGCAACACAGGCTCTACATCACACGGTTTCATCTTTATACTTTATTATGTTGTAAACGTGATGTCAAGGGGCCGCAATACATTAAAAAAAAGAAGTTTAATATAGGTGTGATGTTTGATTAAATGCACTGTAAAACATTTGTAAGTAAGATACAAGTATGACTCTGAATTAAACTTTTGGTTTTAATCATAAATTGCATCAAACCTTTTTACAACAATCAAATAAATAAATAAACCACTACAATATTTCCTGAATCTTGTTCTGATTAAGCATGAACTTAAAACTGACCCAAAGGAACAATGAACTAAGCAGTATCAGAATTCATAACTGGAAATGTGTTTGATAAAAAGCAGCTGTGTGGGATTTTGTGAGCGAGCATGTTAGTTATTGCAGCTGATAATCAAAGAGAGCCTCTTCATCATAAACTGGTGTGGAACTGCAAGAATAATGTCAAGAAAAAAAGCTTTTGAGCCCTGTTCTAAACAGTTTAGAAATTCTATCTATAATATCACATATATTAAAACATAATTTAACAATTAAAGCTAAAACGAGAGCTAAATACCCATTATAAACATCTAAACACCCAGTAACAATAAGCCCACAAAGTGGACTTGTCAATCCTTCTAGATGGATTATGCAGAGGAATGTAAATAGGTGCACTCTGACCAATGAGGAACAGACTACTGGCATGTGACTTGCATAAACACATTTTAGTATTTGAATTGTTTCCTTGTGAAAGCACACTAAACCACTGCAAAAGCAAACAACCTTTCAGAAGATTACTAATATTTCAGAAAATGCCTCAAGATGATGTATAGAAGAAAATCTCTAATGCAGTAGGCACCTGTGATTTGGACGTTGGCATGCCAATGGTCTGAGAGGTGGTCATGGAGAAGTTCAAGCTTTGGGAGGTGCTGAAGTTAGTGGTCTGGGAGGAGCCCATTAGGTCAAAGAGGTCAGATGAGGGAGCGGTGGATACAGGAGCTGGGGCAGGAGCCGTCTGAAAACCTGAGAAAAGGTCTATTCCTGCAGGGTTCACAGGCTGGGCTGCTGGGACGGCTTGTTGGGCTGCAGGAAAAGCGTTCCAATCCCCAAAGTCTCCTCCATTCCCACTAGACGCAGGGGCTAAGGAAAAAAACAGTCTGATGAAGTAGAGCACAGAGATAACACGGAGAGCACAGGAAAGCTGTAATAGTTCTGAAGCATTTTGATCAAAAGGCATATTTGTGCTATAACTGCACAAAATCCACAACCTTGCTTCATGTCAGGCTTTATCATCTGGCTGATAAAGCAGAGGATTTGCATTTGCATGCAAATGAGCGCCACAAAAATCAAGAGAAATGCAAGGAAAACAGTAATGAAACTATCGGGGCACTGAAGACGCATAAATATCAAAAGAATCTCAGACTCTCAGTCACTTCAGCTCAGTGCCAGAAATGCAGAGGGTGATGTGTCACACACAACAAGAGCTGAAATGTGTCTGTGCTCATTAGCTTTTAGCACAGCAGCCCACCATATGGCTGCCCCCTCCTCTCACTGTTTAAGAGCTTTCTGCTTGGAGTATTTCATAAACAGGCAGCTGAGGATGGCAAACTCCAGTCCAGCAGAAAAACAAACAGCCTTCTGTTATATTCCCAGAACTACATTTAAATAACCATATAAAAAAACACACACATATCACCACTTTGTGTCTTTCAAGTTGCAGTCCCTTAAGCATTTCATTTTAACATGCAAGTTTAATTATATACATAAAAAAAACTGAAATTTAGTTTTGGCAGAAATAAAAAATAAAAGTCTCTTTGTTGGAGTTATAATTATTTACTGTAAAAAAACACAAGATATTTTGAACTAATAATGATGGAAAACTAACTGATTGCTAAATAAATTTATCTATATTTTTAAGGTTAGTAGTTCTGATATTATAGGTGGTGGTGCTTTAATACTGTTAAAAATACTATCGATCAAAGCTTTGATTTTAACTGACCTAAAACAAGCAGTAAAACAGTATTTTGAAATATATTCTTTAGAAACATTTCTTATTATCAGTGTTGAAAACTGTTATTGTGACATTTTCTTTTCATTTTTTTGAGTTTCTTTCGATAAATAGAAAAGTAGCACAAAAAGCATTCACTTAAACAGATTTTTTTTCTTTAACAATGTTTTTTCTAAACTAAGGTTTTGGTTTATATACACTCACCGGCCACTTTATTAGGTACACCTGTTCTACTTCTCCTTAACTCAAAGTTCTAAATAGCCAATAACATTACTGAAGTTCAATGCATTTAGGCATGTAGACGTGGTCAAGACGATCTGCTGCAGTTCAAACCGAGCATCAGAATGGGCAAGAAAGGTGATTTAAGGGACTTTGAATGTGGAGTGGTTGTTGGTGCCAGACAGGGTGGTCTAAGGATTTTAGAAATTGTTGATCTACTGGTATTTTCACAAACCCCCATCTCTAGGGTTTACAGAGAATGGTCTAAAAGAGAAAAGATACAGTGAACAGCAGTTCTGTAGTGGCAAATGCCTTGTTGATGCCAGAGGTCGGAGGAGAAAGGCCAGACTGATAGAAAGGCAACAGTAACTCAAATAACCACTTGTTACAACAAAGGTATGCAGAACAGCAGCTCTGAAAGTACAACCTGTTGAACCTTGAGGCGGATGGGCAACAGCAGCTGAAGACCACACTTTGGTATTGTTACTGACCATGTCCATTCCTTTATGACCACAACGTACCCATCTTCTGATGGCTACTTCCAGCAGGATAACAAGCCATGTCAAAGCATGAATCATCTCAGACTGGTTTCTTTAATATGACATTGAGTTCACTGTACTTAAATGGCCTCCACAGTCACCAGAACTACAATGCCAGTGACTCGCGACCCCCAATATCTTCTGAGGTGGCTATAAATACAGAAACCTTGCATGCAATTGCGCACACACCAATAGACCCAAGTCTGTTCTACGTTGAATTTTTTTAATGCATGTCAGTGCTATAAATGTGCCAGAAAGTTTAACCTGGTGTTATAAAATTAATCTGCTCCATCTAATGCTATTGCTGTGTCTTTAGTATGATGTAATTACCCCAGTGGTCGCAATCCAATAGAACTAGTAACTATAAAGCTACGATAGTATACTATAAATGACTATATATATATATATTTTTAGTAGGTAATGGATATATTATGGTAATTCCAATGGTTTAATTAAAATAAATAGATTTTTGGAACTTCATTGTTCTGCGACATCTCGGGGGGTCCAGACCCCCACATTGAAAACCACTGCAATAGAGCACCTTTGGGATGTGGTGTAGAGATTCGCATCATGGATGTGCAGCTGACAAATCTGCAGCAACTATGGAATGCTATCATGTCAATATGGACCAAAATCTCTAAGGAATATTTCCAGTACCTTGTTGAATCTATGCCATGAAGAATTAAGGCAGTTCTGAAGGCAATGAGGGGTCTAACCCAGTACTAGTAAGGTGTACCTAATAAAGTGGCCAGAAAGTGTATTAAAATAATGTGTTGTTGTTAATGAAAACTAATTAGTCATTTTCAAAGAAAACCCTACCAAGCTTAAGCTTTTCACCACTGGTGCACTTTTGTTGAGGAAAGTAGAAGTAAATTCAACCAAGAGTTCTCAGGTTGTATTTTTGACCTTATGGTGTGTTAGGAGGTTACATAAACATACCAGTTGATGACGGAAGACTGGCTGCAGCTGCAGGAGAGGAGAAATCAGCAAAACCTCCAATCAGGTCAGAGCTGAGACCTAGATTGAACGAGAGAGAGCTTCAATTATGACATTCTAGATTTGCAAACATATCAATCTTCACTGATGTCCTAAGGAAAAGACAAAAATGGAAAAGACAAAAACAAGAAACATCTGTTGGCATCTTTGAGGGACACAAACACACACATACACACACACACACACACACTCTCTGGTCACATTACATTCCAGCAGCCTGTAGCTGGAGTTGTGTGGAGGAGGACAGATGCAGCTGTTCGGCTGGTGGTGGAAGGAGCAGGACAGTGAGGAGAGGGAGCTGCGCATCTGCTCAGCACTATACACCCACCAGGGACCACTTTGACATCTGGCCTCAGTGACTAAATGTTCCAGCAGGCAGCAGGAGCACAGGAGAGTGCATATGCTAAACTTCACAGTGCCCCCCTCCCTTTCAGCGGGACATGGCCATAGCGCAAGACTAACGGCAAAATGCTTTCTTCTACTTTTACTTATCTCGTCATCCATTTTCAAGACCGTCCAACCATGGTTTTCCTGGCTAATATCTATTATTAGTATTATTCAGAAAATTAGTTTGACAGCGTGGTTGGTTTACTTTATGACTCACACCATGCATCAGTGTTTATTTATGCCAACATCAATCAATCGATTTGAATGAACGACTTTACTTCTTTTATAACCGGATGAATCAGTGTTTCTGAACAAATGATTCAATGAAAAATACATTTTCTTCACAGTTACTTGTCACAATCTACTGGTTTAATGATGTAATGGACTCTTGGTTTAAAACCATTTTGATTCCTACACTAGAACTAAAATACCAATTTTTGTGATGATTTGTGTTTTTGTGACGGAAATAATGATAATGTGTGGCTAAAACCAGTCATGATTTTAATTGTACATAACTGATCTCTGTCTCTCGAGTAACAAGCAGGACAAATGCAGATTTTATTGCATTACTATGGTTGACTCACTGTCAAGAGTGTGTACGCGTTTGAATCAAGATTTCAATCTTTTATCAAATTATCCTGCAGCTAACCCTACTTCCTTTAGGTATGAACCATTGTGTATTATTTATATTTATGCAATTGGTTTATATCCAAAGTGACTTACACTTTTTCCTCAGTTCTTGCTTTCCCCTGAGGATTGAACTCACATCAAGTACTCAACCAAAAAGTAAATGAATGAGAATGTCACACTAAATGTCACAGTATATTGTTGGACAGACTTCAAAATTGGATTAGTTTATCTGAAACAGTGTTAAGTTGGTTCACTTCATATCTATCTGAACGTTCACAGTTTGTCTATTTGGGTGGTCAGATCACGGACGGTCTTCCTGTGTCAGGGGTGAGTACTTGGTCCACTCTTATTTAGTATTTATATGCAACCTCTTGGACAAATTTTGCAAAAATTTGGTGTAGGTTATCACTGCTATGCTGACGACACAGACTTATATTTTTAAATTAAACCATTGCAAAACTGAGATTCTCCTAATGGTGATAAGTTAGCAATTTTAAGCTGTCAGTCGATGGCTTTTAATGATCACCGTCTCCACAGATGTACAATTTTGACATACTTTTTGATGCTCAGCTTAGCTTAAAATTCCATTTAACAAAAGCAGTTTTTCATCTACACAACATTGCACGCATTAGACCCTTTCTTCCAATACCAGATGCTGAGAGGCTTGCTTATACCTTCATCACATCCCGCCTAGATTTCTGCAATTCAGTTTTTGGGGGTCTTCCTGCTAGTTTTCTCAGGACATTTTAGTACGTTCAAAACTCAGCTGCATGTGTGTTGACACACCCTTCGTCACATTACCACATTACTCCAGTACTTCAGCAACTACACTGGCTACCTTTCAAGTCACAAAATGATTTTAAAACTTTGATTTTAAAAAAAGCAGTTTATGGATTTGCTCCTGGTAATATTTGTGATATTTTTTTTTTACGTATGATATTTTAAGTTCTGCATTGAGTCTCACTTGGTTTCAGCCTCATTGTAGACTCAACACTATGGGAGGTAGGGCATTCTCCTATCACGTGCCTAAATTATTAAATGCTTCACCTACAACCATCAGGAATGCCACCTTTTTCAGACTCACCTTTTTAGTATTGCTTTAAATTTATGAGGATTGCTGTCATTTTGAACTATTTGTAGCATTATGGTGTTCAATGTTTTTTTTTCTTTTTTGTATTACTGTTTTAATGTTTTGTAGCACTTTAAGTTTGAGAGACACATAACAAATAATATTTATTATTATTATTATTATTATTATTATGACTATGTACCTTTGGAAGCTGGTTGAGCAGGTGCAGGATCTGCTGAGAACAGGTCCACCAATCCAGAACTGGGCTGACTCACTGCTGATGTCGTAGTAGTCTATATTAACAAAAAGAGAAACCACTCTAAACAGCTACCACAAGATGTCAGTGTAGAGTCGATATATTATAAAATACATGTAAATTCACATGATTTATTAACGGATGTCTCTATTAACCAAGAGATTTAGCTATAAAGCCAATGATTTTGTGTAGTGCTTCTTTACCTGGTTTGTGTTAGAATTGTTGGAGGATTTGTCGCCAGTGTAATGAGCAGCTGCTCCAAGGTCTATCGTTTTTGAGGGAACGCCTTTTTTACGAGTGGCAGTGGTCTCTGTGGCCTGGACGATCTGGACGCTTTTGGTTGTCACAGTTTCTTCATCATCTTTAAACTCAGATTTCCCCGACTGCCCATTTCTCGTTCCCCGGCGCTCCTCATCTGCCTCACTATAGAATTTTTTTAAAAATGAGGAAAACAGTCCATGACATGATCGATTCACTTGGTTATAAACAGCTGTCAACAATCTGTTGATTAAATTAGTTGTAACATTTATGCATTTGCATTTTGTGAGAAGAATAGGTTTTTCCAGGTGATCTGAGAAGGGAAGGTGAGATGGCCTAGGGGTCCTGACCTGAATCTGTCAGGCGAATCCTCCCTGTCTTTTTTGCGGAACATGTTAATGGTGTCATCAATGGTGCTTCCGATCTTATCGCTGATCTCTCCCAGTTTTTCACTAAAAGGGAATGCTCCCTTGTTCTTTTCCCAGTCATCATCCCATTTTGAGCGTGGCTCTCTGGAATCAAACCTGTCCTCCGCTGTAGGATACATAAAACAGTGTGTTTTGCTATACACATACACAAACACAGCATACATTCAAGAAATACAGGAAATTAAGGGGGAAAATTGCATCATAAAAACATGTCTGAGTCATCAAAAATAAAATTAAAATCCATTTTACATAAATAAAAATGATGCTCCTTAATTTATTTTTATGACAATTAAGCACACTTTCCAATCCAGTTCTAATTTCACTTTTGTGATTTTTTTTTACTTTTACTGAAAGTAAAAAGTAAGTTCACTTTTGTGATTTCTATTATTCTAAATGATTATTCCAATTCTAATTACCTAATTAGCATAAACGTAGGCAGTGCAACACATATTAGCAAAACATTTACTTTAATTACCATGCTCATTTGTTAATTACACTTCTTATTAAGTACTGCTTAATTAATACTAAAAAGATGCCAAAACTGGTACTGTAAAGACTTAACTTCATATCAATTCAAAATATAATCCTTTTTCCTTTTAAGGGGACACACAACTTGGTTCATCATAAGATTCATCATAATTTATGTGAATGTAAAGAGAAGCGAAATAAGCCTGTGATGCTTCCTCTCCAAAATATCTTAGAACTGTGGTTATATTACTATATAATTTGCAAGCCACAAACTCAAAAACGCATTAAAATACACGCATATCAAGTTTCATTAAGCTTTAGAGCTAAACGACTGTCAGAACTAAACTAAAACAAGATACCAGTTAAATCTGAAACAGCCATTACAAATCATGCACTGCAAAAAGAAGGCAAGCTTTTTTTTTTGCTTTTGCTTCCTAATCAAGGACATCAAAAACATAATTTATGCTGTCATGTGAAAAAGCAGCTATGCGGGGTATTAAAATAAACCTACAGTATAGTTCACTCATCTGGCAATGCAAATCCCCTAGGGATAATAACGGTGGAGAGAAGGACAGAAGACCTCCTCGTTTTTAGAGTCCCATTTAGATAAATTCCTCATGATTAATGTATATGATGTAAAACACCTTGAATAGCTTATATATATATATATATATATATATATATATATATATATATATATATATATATATATATATATATATATATATATATATATATATATATATATATATATATATATATATATATATATCTATATATATATATGAATGTGGGTGTGTGTGTGTGTGTGTAAGTTAAGAAAAGAGAAGACATTAGGTACTTACAGTATCTGAAGCCTGACATACTATCAGAGGACACGCCTATATACTTGTCCCTGTTTTTCTTAGCCTTCTTCCTTTCCTCTCTCAATCTGTCATCATCCTGCACAAACTCTATAAGCTCCTTCACCTTCTGACGCACATTGACACCCTGGTCCTTGCCGTTCTCGTCTGAAACACAAAAACCCATTCATCCATCACTGACCTGTATCTGAGAAACATCAAACAGCGTTGATGACAGACAAATAATTATACGAGCACTCGTCTTTGTGTAGTTTACTCACCGACACAATGATAGCTCTCAATTGAGCGCAAATCATACAGGTGTTCTCTTGCGCTCGTGACCACGCGTTCAGACCCATTTCTGATCAGGTAAGCCAGCAGCAGTAAAGACTGAAATAGGGAAGACAGAAAAGCTCAAAACAGATCACAGTGCAGGCAAAGCATTCAATATTGCAATAAGCACAAACTCAGCACAAAAAAAAACAATGGACCATTTCAATATGGTGAGGTCACTGGCCCATGAACATTTCCTGCTTGTAATCAAACTATTTTATAACCATAACAATTGGCAATTCAATCATAACTTAATGTTAAAAATGTTTGAATTCTCGGAAGTTATAGGAATTAAAAATGTCAAACAGGAAACCCGTTGGGACCATTATTTTTGTTTACATCCCTCAAAATGGTAAATAGCTGCCTAAGACACTACTGTTTAACCAAAAACCCAATACTTATCAATAATTGCACACCTTGTAAACTCTTCTCCAGTTTTTCTTGTTGTCTTTGAGCATTCTTGTCCACAGCATGTTCATTACCTCTGGAAACTGTTCATACATAAATGTGCACCTGAAATTAACCAAAATAAAAGATTATCTAAGGATGCACGCTCAACTGCTTTCCAGATAAATGCAGATCAATCACCAAATTCCCCTCCACTTGCCTCGCAATTTCTCCCATTAGCTGTCCAGAAGGTCCCCATGGGTCATCATTGGTGGCTTCCCGAACTTTCGACTCAGTTTCAGTATAGTTCATCACAACGTTGGTTCTGTGAGAAAGAGATTAAAGCACAACAGCCTTTTAGAAGAGTCAAACTGTGTTTGTTATAAAGGATATCTGGAAGTACAAGCCTTTCAGCAGAGAATAAATATAGTTAGATTTTGTATTACACACACATTTAATACTTTAGTTGTTCAACATGGTAAGACAATAATCAAAATATGGATCCTTGGCTGCAGGAAATGGTTTTGTGCAAGTGACATTTGTACTGTAATTAATAAAAAGAAAAATGGGAGTTATTTTGGGGCTGTTCAGCTGAAAGAAAGACAGTTTGTATTAAAAAGCAGATTATCCAAACCAAATGACATTTTCCACTCTGTCCAAATGGTTATAAATACAGCAGTGATTGTAAACGCATAAAATCACTTCCTATTTAAACGTATAAAGCTATATAGGCTTAGATTTGTGTATGATGCTGTCGGGTTAGTGATTTACTCATTTAAAAAGCCCCTAAGGTTACATCACTTTTACCAGAAGACATATTTATATTACCTATTAAAAAGAAATGACTTTAAAATAGTAGAAGTGAGAGATACTAACAAAAAAGAAACAAAATGTCAGAGGTATCTTCACTATAAAATAAAAACAAACTGCTTTGGTTGAAACAAAACACAATGAATCGACAGCCTATCAGTCAATCGTCACCATTACTAAATTTCAGATTAGAATGTTTCGAGTTTAGGAAATCAATGGTGTTTATCAGACAAGTCAAACTTTGACAGATTTAATGACATCAAGGAAGTGGTGTTTTAAACCGGCCAGTACACTTTCTAAAATATTAGGGCCATTGGTTCTTGTAAGTTCCTCAATAAATAATTATTTAAATTAAAATGATTCATTCAAAATGGTTGACTCATTTAATAACAAACTAAATGACTATAAAAGCATCACTGAAATATTAGCTCACTCAGTTTGTTCAAGAACACCGTCTTTTGAAAATAAAAGCCTGCAGTTTTGCTTTGTTTGGAACTATATTCCCTGGCAAAACAGGAAAATCTATGGCATGTCTAAAATGCTAATCGCATTTGCAATATCACTCATGTGATGATATTTAAAATGAGGCACACTTGATTTTCTGATATTACCTAAATATACTTTATAAATATCAAAAACAAACAAACAGAAATATATTTTGCTTTCATGATTTTGCTAAGGGCAATTTAATAGGCTTCATCATACAGTTAATGTGTTTGGACTCTCACAAAGTGCTTTTATAAAGTAAGTAACACTATATCGTTTCAGTTTCACTATATCGCACAATATATCGTTTCAGCATCGATATTCCAATGTGCGCATCCGCAATAATTACATCGCAAGATATGCAAAGTTGAGTCTGAATTATAGTTGAGCAGGTGCTACAGAAGACATCTGACATGTGAATTCACTGGCATCATTTAATAACTTTTTAACCATAATAGAGTGAAAATTTATCATTAGCATGGGTTTTTGAAGGCCTGTGACGTGTGACTGAGCATTTCAAGAGAGTGTAAAATATTTGGGTCCAAAAAATATGTTTGGAGGTATAACAAAGATTTACCTGGAAAAAAGGTAAAGTCCTTATTACTTGAAGTTTTTGTCTTGCTTCTAGTCCAAATATCTACATTTGACAGTGAAAATAAGCTTATAGTCACCCCATTGGCAGATAACTTTGCTTTGTTTTAAAGAAAAACCCTTAATTCTGACTTCTTTCAGCAAAACAATACTTTTACTTGATTAAGCATTTAGATATTTAGACTAGAAACGAGACAAAGCAAAGTAAGAAAAGCATTTTTTTGCATTGTGATTTTTTCCATTTATGTGCTGTTAGACTCCTCAGAAAACTGTCAAATAGAGCATTCAAATGACTAGTGAAACTGTAATCTTATTGCAGAAAAATAAAACATAAAATTATCAGATTTTTTTCAACATCGTGCACTGCAGCCCTATCAGATAACATATCATTAAAACAACAATTGCATTATTATTGCAGATGATGAATATCACACACACCTACAGAACAGTTACTTGAATAATCAAAAACCTCAAACTCCTCCTTCATCTAAATATCATGCTGAGGTAGCCAAGTAGACAATTCAGCAAAAGCACTTACATGAAACCAGTTTAGCCCAATAGCGGCAGAGCCAGAGTGAGATAAATAGTGGTTATACAAGATACACAAGATCTCAGTATAAGGGTGGGGTGTACAACAGAATACAGGGTGGATCAAATAAACGAACACATCCTCAATTTTTCCTATTCCTGAATTTCTGTGGGTTTTGATTTTAAAAATTGTCAATTGTCTATGGGTTTATAGTATATTAAGAAAATAACTTGGTATTGTCTTACTCAGTGGAAATGTAAACACAAATTAGCAAGAACAAGTCAAAAACTTAATATGTCCTATATCCATGTTTCCTTGTTTTTTTTTAAAGTGTAGTTAATTAGATTAGACAATAACAAAATTATAATGACCAAGAAGAAATAATAATAATAATAATAATAATAATAAATAAATAAATAAATAAATAAATAAAAACTAGCAGACACATGAATCTGGCATTATATGAGGTGACTGACAGGAAATCAGTCCTCTTAAGCTTACAGGTTGCAGTAATTGCCATCATCTGAAAAAATCTGGGATAAACACACACGTGTCGGATTCTTTAAAAACACACCAGACCGGTCAGATGCATTAACTGGTTTCACAGCTTGATGACAACACAGCTTTTTTTCTTAGCTGCAACTGAAATCTTTTCCAAGGTTATATGATACCTGTTGTTGGTTATTTACTGTCTTAAATATTGATACTACAGTCTTTCTGTGTCATCTTGTGACATTCACACCATTTTTGAACAAGCTGTCCATCGCTTTACCAGCATGAAGCTACATTCCCCATTGGTCCACCCATGGCTACACTTCTCTAGTTGTCTGTTAAAAGGTCACACTGTTGGAAATGAATGATTTTGGAGGCAAGCATCTAAATTCACTCTGCTTGCCACACTGTCTCCAAAGTTGCTTTGCAAAAACAGGAAATGGCTTTTTTTTCGGGTCATGATGTATCATGTTTGTCAAGATGATATTCAATATTTTATGTTATACAGTCCAGTACACAACATGCAGATTTTTTTGGTCACTTCGGACATTAAAGCTTGACCACTTATCTTCCAACAGCATATGCTGCCATGTCAGCTGTAAATCATCACATAGTTTCATGTAAATGACACAGTTTCAGAGACATACCCAGATAGGTAACACCCAAAAGTTTGCACAAACTCTCATTTGTGAATTAAAGCCTTCAACAACCGCTGTTCTGTACTATGAGAAAATAGCAAGATAAGAATGGGGGGAAAACTAGATTGAGAGTTGCACAATAATTAATGATCACCATAAAACAGATCATTTTATTCTATTTTTTTAATTAAAATGATTAAACTTTCTAAAATTAAAATGATATTTATGTCACAAAGTTTCTGTTTAATAAGGGGTGACCAGCTACAGATTTGAGTTATCTCTGACTGGCACATTTAATTCTAAATTGCAATCCTTTCATAATAAACAAACTCGTAAATTATTCATTAAACAGTAACTGACAGTTTGATTTTAGATAGCACAGCTAAAAACAAAACTCTTAAAGTCTGCAACAAACCAAAATAAATAGATTTTAATGGCTCACATTGCTCTTCTTGAGGTGAATGATTACTCTTTGCAAGAAATTTTGGTAATCTTTAATCAAATTTGTTTCCACTCTTGAATGTCTATCCTTCTGTAAGGCTGTTAGACAGCTCAAGTAAAACACCATAAGCCATTTCTCTACAACTGTTAGTTTGCTGTGCACAAAAGTTTGTGAGAAGGAATACTTTAATAAAACAATGCCCTTTATTCAAATTCAGATAGAAAAATGTCACAATACCATGTTAATTTTATAGGAACTTACACCTCATGCAAGATTTAAATGGTTTGGAAACATGTTAAAAGTGGGTCCCAGCTGAAATTTAGTTCAAAATACTAAATATAAACCAATTCATGTAAAACATTTCTTTGACCTTTGAGTATAATGTTGTTTATGTTTGTTTAAAATGTTATTTTCATTGGAGATACATTTTCTTCTTCTGAACAAATGTGTATTAGTTTGGTTTGTACTAAAGCATAACAGAAACTATATTTCTGAAGTGTTTGATGTCCCTCTCGTTTTAGGGGTAAAAACACAAGTTTCTGTTTAACTGCTGCAGTTTTCATGAAACTCAGTGGCCTCTATTACTGTATAATCACCGACACATCCATGGCTTTGAAAAATGTAAACAGTTTGTTGAATAATCGGCAGTAAACACACAGCACACAAATATGAACAATGAGCTGTTGTTCATATTAGGCTAACTAGTTAGCTTGAACAAATGACTCCCGAACGTTACAAAAAGTTTAAGTCACTTCATATATAAATTTAAACGCATACTCCTGTTTTAAACAACAGTTTTCTCACTTAAAAAGATAAACAATCGCAAGGTTAGTTTATGTGGAAAGCACTTTGATACACAAGCGCCGTGTTTTGACAGCCAGCACAAGTTTAGCAAGTGTCATAAAATTAGCCAATGTGTTGATATTAAGGATCCCTGTGCAATATTAGGGCGTTAATAAACAAGTTTAGACCTCTTGTAAAGTAACAAAACCGATTGAAAAATCTGCACTGGTGAAATACAAGACTTTTAAGGGGAACACAAAGCTGTTGTTAGCCGCTGTGCTAACTTAGCTCCAGTCTCGAGAGTGCGATGTGACGTCAATGAGTGCGTACGTGTCTCATTTTCAACAGGTACGAGGCAAGACGCCGAAATACTTTCGGAAACATCCAAAATACTCACGCTTTATCAACCAGCTCCCGCACTTTCCACATATTCAACATCTTGGCCGTGTCGCTGTGGCTCTCGGTCGAGTAAACAGGTGTTCCAGCCCTTGAAATCCGCTGGTCGTGCCAGTAGAGCTGTCACGAAAGCCGAAGCATGAACTCTAAAGTTACGGCGGAGGAGCGCAGGCCACACAGGTTTCTACGGAAATGCTCCGTCACTTACGGAAATTTCGTAGGCTGCTTCAGCAGAAACACTACATCCTTTCAAGATGAGGATATGACATAATATACTTTAAAGTAACCTTGCAGAAAATGGTAGAGAAGGAATATTAATTGAAGGAAACTCTGGGTATCTATTAAATATATAATTTCAAAGAAAATCAAAGAAATCTTACTTAAGATACTACATAAACTTTACCCTGTTAAGCATTTTTTAACCAGATTCATTGAAGAAATTGATGTCAATTCTTCGTTCTGCAGTGGCGCCCCCAGAAAATTTTCTTAGGGGTGGCCAGAAGAGGCCGCACCAAATCTTGGGGTGGCACACAAAAAAAAATTATGAATTCAGTGTAATGTTATATTTTTGTGTTTTTTTCAATTAATTCTTCTTGAAATATTGCTATTTATTCCTTGAAGTAATTCAAGAAGTACATGTGCAAACCAAATAAAAATCTATGTTTAGTTTAAAAACACTTTTCATATATATATATATATATATATATATATATATATATATATATATATATATATATATATACAGTTGAAGTCAGAATTATTAGCCCCCCTGAATTATTAGCACCCCTGTTTATTTTTTTCCCAAATTTCTGTTTAATGGAGGGAAGATTGTTTCAGCACATTTCTAAGCATAAAAGTTTTAAAAACTTATTTCTAATAACTGATTTATTTTATCTTTGTCATAATGACAGTAAATAATATTTTACTTTATATTTTTCAAGACACTTCTATACAGCTTAAAATGACATTTAAAGGCTTAACTTGGTTAATTAGGTTAACTAGGCAGGTCAGGGTAATTAGGCAAAGTATTGTGTAATGATGGTTTGCTCTGTAAATTATTTTTAAAAAAAATAGCTTAAAGGGGCTAATAATTTTGTCCCAAAAATGGCTTTTAAAAAATTAATAACTGCTTTTATTCTAGCCGAACTAAAACAAATAAGACTTTCTCCAGAAGAAAAAATATTATTAGACATACCGTGAAAATTTCATTGCTCTGTTAAAAATAATTTGGGAAATATTTAAAAAAGAAAATAAAAATCAAAAGGGGGCTAATAATTCTGACTTCAACTGTATATATATATATATATATATATATATATATATACTGTATAAATAACTTTTTACGTGCTTTTATTGTACATCATACGGTATATGCCATGTCTAAAATTAATGAAGATTAATGAGTTTATTATTCCCAGAGATGGGTTGCTGCTGGAAGGGCATCCACTGTGTAAAAATGTGCTGGATAAGTTGGCGGTTCATTCCGCTGTGGCGACCCTGGATTAATAAAGGGACTAAGCCGAAAAGAAAATGAATGAAAGAATAATGAGTTTATTAATAACCCAAACAAATGATCAAACTGAAACAAAAAGGCATTACTATACACAATCACTATACCAAATAATATCATTTATCCATATTACTTTTTGAGCCATTTTATTAATGCAGCTTCTTCTATTGATATACTGTACCTTAAGGTAAATATTAATTTGCCATTGCTGTCTATTGAAGGTGTGCGTGCTGTCAACGATGATCGGGAAGGGTAGTGGTGGTTCTAGTTTAAATGACACCCTGGGCGAGCCACCCTATAAACCCCACCTCCCTTGAATTGTTAGATTTGTTATTCAATAAATATAAAAATTTATTTATATTTATTTTAAATAAATACAATTAATATTATTATACAATTATTATTCTGAATAAATAACAGAAATCAATCATAAATATTACTGGAAAACAACAAGTGGAGTGATATGCCAAGATCACTTAAGAAACCTTTTGCATGAAAATTAATTATGACAATTCTAAAGAATACAAAAAATGTATTATAGAATTATCTGTGGTCTTAGACCAGATCATGGCTGAGAAATCATGTTATGAAGTCTTACCTCCCTGACTCATTATCCCTCCTTTCTGCTTTAAAGGCATGCTTAGTGAAAGTAACATCATCATCATCATCATATTATATAAACTTTAGTCGACTTTCACCTCTGCACAAAAGGCTGTTACTCCGTTTCACGGCGAATGAGCGGCGCGTATTTTGTCGGCGTGCATGCAAACAACCAACCGGGATTCACACAGGAGTGCGTGAGGCGCGCGGGAATGGTTTTCTGCGCGCATGCGTCAGTTTGCTTTCACCAGCATTCAGCATTGAACCAGCACTAAGGGGGAGAGACAATGAATCAGCTACATCAGTAACACCAACAATAATTTAGTGGCTCCATTTTATTTATTTAAACGTTGTGGATTTATAAGTACATAATGTCAACAGCAAAATTATATTGGGGTGGCCACAGGGGTGGCCAGAGTTTACCGAGGGGTGGCCGTGGCCACCCCTGGCCACCCCTTGGGGGCGCCCCTGTCGTTCTGTTCATTAGCCTACCCAGAAACAGTACCTCATATTTTCTACCATTGTATACAAAAAGTTTATGGTGGAAGAAGGTAGTCTATCTAAATTTAAAAAAAAAGATAAAGTGCAGTCAAAATTTCTTTAACTGTATGATTATATTTTTTTGTTTGTTTTTTTAACTAGAAGTTAGAAAATGAATCTTCTGTTATTAATCTTTTGATTATACTTACCATGTTTCATTTCCATCCTTGTAAATTTAGCAGTCAGAAACCACTTGTATGTGTGTTATTTTATTTTATTTCATATTTTCATTTCATTTTTACTTCATTCATATTTTTAGTACACCACTGGCATTGTTTTGTATGTTATGTTCATGCATTAATAAAAACGTATGTAGAGAAGAAGATTAAAGTAAAGTGATGGGTTTATTTGACAAAAACTTTAATTGGGAAACAACAAAACAGCTCAGACAAAGATACAATAAGAATACGTTTGTGTAGTTGTCACGTAATAATTGAATTTAAATGAAATTTAATTCCAGTTAAGTTACCAGACTTTAACTGTAATACCAAACAGATTTGATATTTTAGTGTAAATGTAAAGAGGTGAAATTAAAGGGGGTAAGCTTTCACAATTTTTCACTTGTTAAATGAATTACTGATGATATCATAAATTATTTATTCATTCATTTTCTTTTTGGCTTAGTCCCTTTATTAATCTGGGGTCGCCACAGCAGAATGAACCGCCAACTTATCCAGCAAGTTTTTACGCAGCGGATGCCCATTCCAGCCGCAACCCATCTCTGGGAAACATCCACACACACATTCACACACACTCTCATACACTACGGACAATTTAGCCAACCCAATTCACCTGTTCTGCATGTCTTTGGACTGTGGGGGAAACCGGAGCACCCGGAGGAAACCCACGCGAAGGCAGGGAGAACATGCAAACTTCACACAGAAACGCCAACTGAGACGAGGTTCAAACAAGCAACCCACTGACCTTATTGCTGTAAGGCGAACGTGCTACCCACTGCGCCACTGTTTCGCCCTATCATAAATTAATATATAATAATTATAATATATTATTCATTGATTTTCTTTTTGGCTTAGTCCTTTTATTAATCTGGGATCGCCACAGCGGAATGAACTGCCAACTTAACCAGCATATATTTTACACAGCAGATGCCCTTTCAGCTGCAACCCTGGGAAACATCCATACACACTCATACACTACAGACAATTAAGCCAACTTAATTCCCTTATACCTTCTGGGGGAAACCAGAGCACCTGGAGGAAACCCACGCCAGCACGGGGAGAACCTGCAATCTCCAACTGAGCCTAATCTTTTGACTTTTGATAAATATATATATATATTTATATATCAAAAGTCAAATGATTAGGGTCAGTTGGATTGTCAGATGTTTTAAAATAAGCTTCTCCTGCTCACCAAGGCTGCATTTATTTAATCAAAAATACAGTACAAATTGCAAAATTGTGAAATGTTATTGCACTATAAATTAACTGTTCAAAAGTAGTTTATAATTTAATTGAATAATTTATATATTATTATTATTAATAATAATAATAATAATAATAATAATTATTATTATTATTTACAATAATACTAGTAATAAAAGCAATAATGACTGGAGTAATAATTTCATTTGAAACTACATACAATAAGAAAGCTATTTAAAATTGTAAAAATATTTAACAATTTAACATTTTTTTTACATTGAATGCTGCCTTCATAAACAGAATATATAAACTGCAGAAATAAAGGTACAGGAGCTTTCACTGGGACGGTACCTTTTCAAAAGATACACATTCGTATTCAAAGAGTCCACAGTGGTACCTCAATGGTGCATATTAGTGCTAAATGTACCTAAAACATACCTTTTAAGTACAATTATGGACCCTTCAGGTAAAAATATGTATACCTTTTGAAACTTTTGACTGGCCCAGTTACAGCTCCTGTATCTTTATTTCTGAGAGACTTTAAATCATAAACCAATATTAATCATAATACACTTTGGCAACATTTTTGGACAACACTTTTTTTTTGGACAACTTATTTTGAGACAACTTAGTTTTTATTAGTTACTTAATTTTAATTAAAACACCTAGCAGAACTCCATTTTTTTAATTTAAAGGGGCAAAAGTAAAATTAACAAGCTATAAGTGTTTTAGATGTGATTAAATACATTAAATAATTAATAATTAATAATAATTAAATACAATAAATAATAATTTAATAATTAAACACATTATTTACAACTTTATGCCAGAAAATAATATTTACTACAATGGCAAATTCATTTTATAAATTAATATTAGTTAAAACACTTGCTGTGCAACTTTTTATATACTTCCAGCTTAATTAAAGTACCAACAGAATTGTAATTTTCATGTGAATCATTTATATACACTGTAAAACCCAAAAAGGTAACTCAAACCGTTTGAGGAAACCAATTGCAACAAACCATTTAGATTCAAAAACTAATCCTAATGAGTACTGTGAACTTTAACTGTGAACATTTGAGTAAGCAAAGCAATTTGAGTAAA